CCCCTGGCCTGGGCAAAGTGGATGGTAAGGCTAGGAGAAGTGGCAGGAGCCTGGCCACAGGGTGGACTTGGCAGCATGTGTGGGCGAGCAGAGGGGGAAATGAGATCACTTCTGCAGCTCTCCCTTCTGCAGCCCACTTCCTCCTCATTTACATCTTGCACACTGTCAGACGAAGGGAGGTGACCTCAGGGATGGAGCTGCCTGTGCTAGACCTGGCTGTGTGAGGGGAACTGGGGTGCAGCCTCACCCCCCAGCAGCTGGCTGAGCTGCTGACCAGTTCCTCTCTTCCCTTCCCGCATGGCACTGCACTCTCAGAAACACGGTTTTGTGTTCTACTAAGACCTAATTCTGCCTTTCTTCCAAGTCCCATAGAGGACACTTGCACCTTTTGGGGACTAAAGGATCAAAGGGTGGATCCTCTCTGAAAATCGCTGCTGTGGAGCTCCTGGATGGTGTCTAGGTACTTGGTGAAATGTCCTCTAAGTCCAAAGGCATCGTTTTCCTAATTGTTCGTGCTGGAAGCTCACCCAGGTCTCTGTGGGCTCCTTGCCCATTGCCAGTCTAGTGGGGTTATTTCCTTCCCCCTCCACCTTGAGCTTGCATAACCCTGATGTCTGCAGGTGCCAGCAACCAGTGGATCACTGCAAAGGCAAGTGAACAAGCGCTGTGCTATGCTCAGAACAACCCAGAATTAAATCTGGATTCAAAGGAGTCCTCTTCTTTAACCCCCTCTCTTTCCTTCAGAAAACCTGGCAAGAGCTAGGAGACTCCTGATGGCTGAAGATGGGAGAGCAGAGGTGAGCTTGATTGTGGGTAAATGGGTAATCATGCAGCAAGAGCCTGCAAGGAGTGTGGGCTGCTGCTGTAAAGGGAGCAGGAGCAGGGTGGTGGAGTCAGCCTGGAGGAGGGTGCTCTCGCTACGAGTGGTTCCCAGACACACAAGGTGCTGTGAAAGCAGAGCCTGAAGTTTTAGTTTACTGGCAGTGCTAGCACATGCATTTCCTTGGAAGAAGACTGAATGTGATTAGATAAACAACCAAGCAGGCTTGGCTACAGCTGCAGTGTGTTCTCTGTATCCTCTCCTTATCAGGCAAAATGCTGAAGACTGAGCAGAACCCTAGGCTTTCTGGCGACGCTTTGCACCATCATCCCTTGCAGAATAACTTCTTTAATTCTGTCCAGTTCTCCACTGTAGTGGGAGTAGAGGAAGCCCATGGTGAAGCATTTCTGTTTTGCTTTGCCCAGACTTGCCTGAGGCTGTCATTCTCCTGATGTGTGAACTGTGAGCGAACTTTCTCTTGGTGCTCCCACTTTGAAAAAAATCTTACTACCTGCAGGAAATCAAGAGACACACTGGGATGCAGTAATGGAGTTGCTCTTTTCTGTTACAGTTTCTCCTTTCCCAATGGGGTTATATGCTGGGTGTGGCAGTCCAGGGACAACCGGGAGCAGCCCTGGTGTACGGCTGTTTTCCAGAGAAGAGAGGGTGGGTGAGATGCAGCTGGGTGATGCAGGAGCTCTCTCATCCCACAGCACCCTGTCAGTGAGCACCTTTGCTGCTGGGGAAAGGGGGTTTCATTGACTTGGTTTTGATCAGCCAAAGTGATCAGTTGGGAATGAAGTGCATTGTTTCTCTCCCAGAAACTCCTGATCTGCAGGAAGGAAGCTGGCTTGACCCTTAGGACATCATCTGTTTTGGTGGCACCACATGAAGGAATCTCATCAGAAGGTTTTCCAGGCATCTCCAGATCACCTGAGACTGGAATATTTCCATTGGTGAGGATGCTCAAGTTTTACGGCTTCCGGACTTGCAGCCCTGAGGCAAATTTCTGCTGGCCCCTGCATCTCCAACCATCAGACGTGTAGTTTTGATGTGGCTATGGCTCATGGTGGGGCTTCAGAGGTGAGGAGTAGGTTTGTAGTTGTTGACTGGTCTCAACCTTTCATGTGACCTTCAGTAACACCATGGGAATTTTGCCCGGCTGCAGAACTTTGACTATCTTCTCTGGTTCACTTGGATGAAGAGTGCTTCTCTCTTTTCCTTCTTGATTTTTAGACTTCAAACTTCCTTGAAAATGAAGGAAATGAAACCAGAGGGCGTTTTTGTGAGTGACGAGAGAGCCCAGTCTTGTTCCAGAGAAGAAATGAAATTTAGAATGAAGGCAGACAAAATATCTCATCAGTCATTTGCACTGGCTGCAAGAGTTTGAGAGCCACTTAATCTGAGAGGTGAGGGTGACCCAGACTGTGATGTCCCTTGATGGGGTACTTGGTGCATTGCATTAACATGTTTCATTTTTCTCCCAGCTGCTGCAGAAGGTCCCATTGGCACCGGTGCCTGTGACATGGAGCATGGATGTTGCAGGGCAGTACCTGCTGATCCTACCAGGTCCTGTTGCAGGGCTGAGTTCTTTCTCCACAGTTTTGAACCCTTTCCCAGCTAGGTAAACCCAGGCAAACTGTTTTCCCCCACAGTGCCTGAGTTTTCTGGGGATTTGGGGATGTATGAGAACCCTGGGAGAAGGGAGACATGGGGTGGGAAGGGAGAGGAGAGCAGGGGTAGATGAGGGTGAGGAGTAAGGAGGCCTCTCTGTTCATATTGCCTTGGAAACATGGACTTTTTCTCTCTCAGCCTTGGCAGTTGTGGCAAAAGACTTCTATGCTGACTTTCACATGGGAATTGGCACTTGGGAGGTCCCTGTATCTGGATGGGTCTGGCTTGCACCCTGGGTGCTAGATTTGCCAAAATCCCGAGTACCCCCAGGAGACCCAAAGGTCTGTGGGCAGTGGTATCTGAAGATCCCAAATTTCACCTAGACACTGTGAGGGGCTGGGCACTGGTGTCCCAAAGCAGGGGCTCAACACCTGAGGACATGTTCAATCTCAGCTTGTGATGCAACAGGAATTAGCAGCACCTTCTTCCCCTGTGGGAAGTGCATCCCTTGGCTTCTGTTGAAGCCCCTGTACTGGATGCTGGAGGTGAGTGGGGGACTGTGGGAGTAGGTGCCACGCAGGGGAGTGCTGCCCAGACGGTGTCTTTTCTTCAGCCCCAGCAAAGTCAATGCCATGGCTCCACAGGCACGAAACCCCTGGGTTACTAGCTCTGCTGCCTGAAACCCTGGTGGGGGTTTTGTTGCTGGAGATATGCAGAAGAGTCATGGTGCAAGGGTTGTTCCCAGAAGCAGCAGCAGAGACAGGAGCTGCATGACCTTTGGCAGGGACTGGTTCCCCCTTGCACCCCTTTCCCTGCCTGCCTGGCCCCCACGGTTCCTCCTTGTTGGGGAGCTGTTTGTGAGTGCATGACCCAGGTTGTGAGTGCTGAGATCAGTAAGTGAAGCGCCCGGCCGCGCTCTCTGCCTCCATGTGACTGCAGTTTCCGTTAGCTCCTTCCGCAAAGGCTATATTAGTGCTAAGCGAGAAAGCGGGTGAGAGAGAAACCCAGTAAGTTGCAACTACCCCCCTAGAGCGCCCCGAGTGCAATCAGAGAGGCTGCGGCTGCAGGATGAGTTGTGGCAAACCCTCTTCGCTGCCCCACATGGTAAGTAACTGTCCTCCAATACCTTTGCTGGAGGGAGAACCACTGCCTGGGGTTTTTGGGGAGCCCCTCTTGCCAGGCTGAAGATCTGTGATGGTTGTGTGTTGCTAATGCCCATGCTCAGAAGAGCTGTGGCTGCGTGGGCCAGCGTCGGGGCTGGCACGCGTTGTGGGGAGTGCCCTGGGGGCACCCAGACCTCTTGCTCAGTGTTTTCCGTCTGAGGCTGCCGCATGCTCTCCTGGCCAGGCGAGCGCCGTCCCCGCAGCCCCAGGGAGGAGTGTGGGAGGATGGAGACACTTAAGATGTTGGGGGAGGCCATTGCTGTGTGGCAGAGAAAGGCTGAGCTGGGTGAAAGAAAGTATGAGCTTCTGCAGGGAGATTCAAGGGCCAAAGGCAAGCTGAGCCAAAGCCTCTGTGTTTTGGCTGCAGTGAGGACATGGCAGGGTTCTCTTGCCACCGTGCCTTAGTGGAAGGCTCTGCTGGAGACAGAGAGCTTGGGAGGGCATAAGCTGCTGTGTCTTGGCTCCAGCCCAGGAAAAGGAGGCTTCCTCTCCATCCCCACCAGACTAGTAAATGCCACTTTGATAAGACACCAGCGTAATGCTTTCTGCTGTCCAAAGAAAGGAGACAACCCAGGATGTGTCCCCTGCTCCCTTTATGCTGTGAGGCTCCTGCTACTTGGGCTGCCAAAAATAACCCTTCATTTCTTCTTCAAGCACTGGCAGTTATGAAAACACAGCTTGTCAAGCCCTCACCGAGACCTTGCTGCTCATTTGCTTGAGGTTCAGCTTTCCCCCAGATGCAAATGCCGTCAGCTCCAGTTCCACAAAGTTAGTAACTGGGCACCTTGTGCTGGAGAGCCTCTGCTTCCCTGGGAGGACCTCTGGCAGGGATGGGTGCTGCAGGGAACTTGGCGGTAGCTGGGTCAGTGCCTCCCAGGGGCATATTTGTGTCAGAGTGGGGGGCATGAGCCCTGGAGCGGCGAGAAGCCTCTACTTGAGGACTGCAGTTCAGTGACGTTTGCGAGCAGCTGTGCAGTGACAACGATGCTTCTCCCATGTGTGCCGCTCTGTGCAGGAACCAGACTGCCACCCCCCTGTCCCCTCTCCTGCCCTTCAGGCTCTCCTTGGTGGTTCCCATCAAGGGGTCCTGCTGGGATGGGTGGGCTTGGTGCTGGGGCTCTTTGCCAATGCTCTGTGAGCAGCTTGCAGTGGCCCAGGTCTCACAGGGCATGATGGCCACCACTTATGCCATGTTGGTAGCCCATTGCCTCTGAGTACTTCAGGGGGCAACAACAGGAGCTTTGTGCCTGCCTGCAGGCAGCACTTACAGGCAAGAGGCTGGCCATGCACAAGGATCGCTGCTGCCATGATGGGCTCCCTGGGAGAATCTGGGCCTTTTAAGATGAGTAGTCTGCAGCTTTTGACCTTCTCACCCCTGTCTCTGTCTCTGCAGGAGTGCCGCCACTGACATGGAGGCTCCACTCCCTGGTGTCTCCCTGCTTCTGGTCCTCCTGGCAGTGGGATGGGGAAGTCAGGCGACTGCAGACTGGGCAACATCTCCTGGCAGCTGTGAGCTTGTAAGTCCTCACTTGCAAATCCTCACCCTCCTGACTGGCCCTGCCACGCAAAGCCCTGGTGCCTCAGCCTTTCTAGACCTTCCATCTCCCAGCTACTGGTTCAGCTTAAGGAGTGGACTGGGTGCCAAGGCTCTAACTACAGAGCCACCTCCTCCATCCCCACTCTGCTCTCCAAACTTCTTCCTCCTCACCTCCTCCCATCTCCTGTGTCTCAGTGTGGTGTTACATATCCACTTCTTTCTTTAGGTTCAGAGAACTGCACACTGCACTGGGAGATGGCTGAGCTCTGTCCCAGGAAATCTTCGAGGTGATACAGAGGAGCTGTTGCTTGACGACAACGCTATCCAGGTTGTGGGCAATACCTCTCTGCTCTTGTACCACCAGCTGCGGCATCTCAGCTTGCCTAAGAACCGTCTAGAGCTCATTGAGCCCGGAGCCTTTCTCAGCAGCCAAGGCCTTCATATGCTCTCTTTGGCAGACAACCTTATATTCACCAACTACTCGCTGACAGCAGCTGCTCTTTCTGCTCTGCCAGCCTTGAGGATGCTGGATCTAGCTGGAAACCGTCTCACTGAGGATATGGTATTGGTTTTGGTCGGCAACCTGTCCTCTCTGGAGTCCTTGTCCATAGCTAGGAACATCATCATGAGGCTGGACTCATCCTTCTTCACAAATCTGACACAGCTCTTGGAGCTGAACCTGGAGAAGAACTACATCTTTGAGATTGACCAAGCTTTCAAAGGGCTGCAGAGGCTGCAAAGGCTCAACATAGCTTATAACTACCTCCCCTGTGTAGTGGAGTTTGACCTGACTCAGCTCAGGGTGCTCAATGTCAGCAGCAATGTCATTGAGTGGTTTCTGGCACTGGAAAGTGATGATCTCTTTGAGCTGGAGGTGCTCGACCTGTCCCACAACCGTCTCCTCTTCTTCCCTGTGTTGCCTCGGCAGAGCAAGCTGCACTCTTTGCTGCTGAAGGACAACAAGATGAGCTTCTACCAGCGCCTTCCCAATGGCACATCCCTGGCAGATGTCACAGTGCAGTTCCTGCTCATTGATGGCAACTCAACCAACATCACAACGGTCAGTCTCTGGGATGAGATCTGCCACAGCAACCTCTCCTCTCTGCACCTCCTGGATATGAGCCAGAACCAGGTGTGGTACCTGCCAGAGGGCTTCCTGGCCCAGATGCCCTCCCTGACCCACCTGAAGCTCAACCAGAACTGCCTGGAGATGTTTCACCTGTCGGAGGGGAACCCTTTTGCCATGCTGATGGAGCTGGACCTCAGCCAGAACCAGCTGTCAGAGCTGGGGGCAGAGGTGGGTGCCAGGGACATCCTGCCCAACCTGCAGCTCTTCAACCTTAGCAACAACAGGCTGCGGGCACTTCCTCCTGAGGTTTTCACCTACGCTAGGAAGATCACTACTGTGGACCTCAGCCGCAACCGGGTTGACCTCTGTCCCCAGACAGCTGTTGCAGGCAAGGTGGAGAGTGCCCCCTGCGTGGACATCAGGGGTGTAAAGACCTTGACTCATCTCTCCCTGGCTGGCTGTGGTCTGCAGGGACTGGGTGGCCACCCCTTCCAGGGCACATCACTGATGCATTTGGACCTCTCCGACAACCGTCAGGCACTGTCTGGGGACCTGGGATGGCTGCAGGACCTTACACGGACGTTTCAGGTGTTGTCTCTTAGGAACACCAGCCTCTCCACCACTGCAGTGGACTTCTCTGCCTTTAACAGCCTTGTGCGATTGGACCTTTCAGGGAACTCCTTGACTGTCTTCCCTGCTTCTCTGAGTATCCTGAAACTGCACAGCCTGGACCTGCGGGACAACTGCCTCCCAACTCTCCCGCTGGATGTTGCGCACACACCGCTGGGAAAGAGCCTGCGGGAGGTCTACCTCAGCCAAAACCCCTACAACTGCTGCACGCTGGGCTGGTGGGACTCCCTGCAGTGGGTTGAGGGGTTGCATGTCCCTGACAGGCAGGAGGTGACCTGCAGCTATGCCTCCCGCACACTGAGCCCCAGGGCACTGCCCGAGCCTGTCCTGCAGAGCTGCCGCTGGCAGACAACTGACCTGGCACTCCTCTACTTGGTGCTGGCTCTGCCCACCTGCCTGACACTTCTGGTGGCCTTTGCTGTCATCTTCCTCATGTTCAAGCAAAAGCTGCTGAAAGTGGTGAAAAGCCGGTGTGGGGTGTCAAGCCCTTACTGATGGCTGAGGAGGAGGAGAAGGAAGGGCTCAGGAACAGTTAATGCAAGTGGGTTGTCAGGATTACAGCCGATAACCCCTCTGAGGTGGGTGAGGTGGAGACTTGATGGATGGTGCTGGGAGAGCTGCTGTTCCTGCTATCAATGCCCTAAGGCTACCTGGAAGTTGCGGGGTCATGTCTGGTGACAGAGCCTGGGGCTGTACTGGGCATCCTCAAGGGATGTATCTTCAGCAGAAACCTTCAGCTGATGGTGAGAGCCAAGCAAACACAACACCAAACACCTCTTGGCTGAAGGGGCACACACACTTCGCCCCAGGGCTGTTTTTCTCCCCCTTCTGGCAGTTCCTTTAATTTATTCACCCCCAAAGCTAACTGTGCTGCAAAACATCCTCCATGTCTGCAAGCAGCCTTCATGAATTGCCCCAGGTTGGAGCAAGCATCACCCAGGCACTGTGGAGAAGGTTGCCCCTGGCCACAGCTTCCCGTGTTACTCTTGCCAGCACTAGCAATCTCGCAGGCAGACAGGGGTGTGAACCTACTTGTGTGTGCTGCTGAGACAGGTGTTGTTAGCTGAAGGATGTGTTTGGGGTGTTGTTACTTGGTTAAGTCAGTTAGAAAAGCCCATAAAAATAGCTCAATCTTCAAAGATTTAAAATATTGCTGGAAACACAGGAGAATAAATTATATCACTTGAAATATTCTATTATTATTTTCTTTTTCTCTGGCAACTGCTGGATTAAAGAGATGCAAAGGAGATAAGAGAAAGCCTTCCTCCTTGTTGCGCAAGCCCCACTCTCACAGGCTGCTGGCTCCAGCAGCATGGGGGGGTTTCCTCCACCCAGCCCTGGTCACAGCACGTACTGGCTCTCTCCTACCGGCATTGTGCTACCAGGGGAAGTGCTGCTTTGTTCCTTGGAGGGTTACTGTGGGTAGAAATGAGAAGTGATGGTGGTTTAGGCTAACTCAAAAGCCTTTCTGAGAACTGGAGCAGCTTTATTCCCATGGTACTGTTGGGATTTTTCCCGTGAAACGTGTCTCAATTTAATGAGAACACAGGGTGCAGAGAAGTGAGTGGCAGCGCCAGTGTGGGCATACTGAGGGCTTGTCCTTGCCTGAACTCAGAGGAGCTCAGTGGAGCAATGCAGGGTGTGCTGGGGGCTCAAACCCCCACCGCTAGCCCCGGTGTCCCTCTGCCTTACACTGGAGTTGTCCTGGGATGTGGTGGAGGGAGATGCCCAAGGCTGGCGTGTGGCCAGGGGTGATGCCGGGGGACAGCGCAGGCAGCAGGAACCAAGGAGGGCAGCATCCTCCCTGGCACAGGCGTGGGGATGAGAATGGGGGCCACTGGTGAGCTTTGCATGGCTGATTGCTGGGTGAGGCTGGAAAAAATGGTGTAGGTCAGACCATACTGGACCAGCCAGCAGCACCACTGGGGCCAAGTGCTGTCAAGGCTCTGGAAGACCAGCTTTCAAACCGGTCTAGGAAAATGGCTGTAACCGTTTTCATTTATTATACTGTTATGTTAGACCAAAATAGCCAAAACTAAATCAGGACCTGGCTGGGGAATCCCTCAAACTATTTCAGCTGTTCCTTTGCCCATAAGCTGCATGCCCGACGGACTACAGTGACCTATAAATATATCCCTGCGATGTCCTCCATCAGGTCTGCACTAGTGCCAGGTACTGCAGCTGTATTTCAGTGTCTCCCCACTGGCAGGGTGAGCAGGGTGCCCCTGTGAGCACCACTCTCCCTGGGGTCGTTTGCCCCTGCTGTGGGTGCTGGGTCTGGCTTCAGAGAGTGGATGTATGTGCTTCCTCTGCCACAGGCACCATTGCTTCTCCTTTTGGTGGGGAGCTCTGGGGTACAGCTGTGGGCAGGCATGTGGGTAGGAACCCAGGTGCCGGGCACTGCCAGGGCATGGATAAAAAGCAGGCATTTTTTCTCATATTGAGCCAGTGTGGAAGCTACTTAATGTTCTTCCATCAGGGCAGGTGTTCGCAGCTTTGCCTGGGCACAGCTGCATGGTGTCCAGAAAGCCAAGGCTCACCTGGAGCTGGGATGTGCAAGGGATGTCAGGGCAAGACTAGATTCCACTTTTAGAGTGGCTGATGTCCTTACAAAGCTGCTGTTCATCATCTTTGCACAGTCATGGCGATCAGTATGTCACACCCATATTCAGTAACAGCCAGAAAGGACATCCTGGAGAGCAACAAGACGGTCACCCTCATGTTGGGAAAACTGTGGAGTATGCTTTCTTGAAGTACATTTCTAGAAGAAGAGGGTGTCTGGGAGCAGTCAGTGTGGTAGGCTGTGCTTGACCAACCTGCTTGCCTCTCTTGTTGACATGGATGGATTTGTAGGCAAGGGGAGAGCAGTGGGCACCATTTACCTCTACTTCAGCAAGGCTTTTAACACCATGTCTTACAATGTTCTTGCATCCAAGTGAGGATGTCATGGTCTCGATGAGTGGGGCAACCAGGTAGGTAAAACTCAGTTGGATGATCAAGCATGAATGGCAGCAGTTAGTAGGATGTGCTCTACCAGGAGGCTGGTGAAATGACACCAGGGTTCTGATCTGGGATCTGTGCTGTTAGATGTCTTTGTCCATGATCTGGAGGAGGCCATGGAATGCCTTCATGCGAAGTTCACAAATGAGCCTAAATTGGGAGGACCAATTGGGAGGCCAAATGCTGAGTCCTGCACTTCGGACACAACAACCCCCAGCAGCGCTACAGGCTTGGGGAGGAGTGGCTGGAGAGCTGCCAGGCAGAGAGGGACCTGGGGGTGTTGATGGACAGCCGGCTGAGCCTGAGCCAGCAGTGTGCCCAGGTGGCCGGGAAGGACAACAGCATCCTGGCCTGGATCAAGAATAGTGTTGTCAGCAGGAGCAGGGAGGTGATCATGCCCCTGTACTCAGCTTTGGTGAGGCCTCACCTCGAGTACTGTGTCCAGTTTGGGGCACCTCACTACAAGAAGGACACTGAGGTGCTGGAGAGGGTACAGAGGTGGGCTACACCAAGCTAGCAAAGGATTTGGAGCATGAGTTGTACAAGGAACAGCTGAGGGATCTAGGGCCTGGAGGGGAGACCTTATTGCTCTCTCCTGAAAGGCGGTTGTAGCGAGGCGGAGATTGGTCTGTTCTCCCTAGTAGCAAGTGACAGGACAAAGAGAAATGGCCTTAAGTTGTGCCAGGGGAGGTTCAGGTTGGATGTTGTGAAGAATTTCTTTACTGAAAGGGTTGTCAGGCACTGGAACCACCTGCCCAGGGAGGTGGTTGAGTTGCCATCCTTGGAGGTGTTTAAGAGAGAGGTAGATGTCGTGCTGAGGGACACGGTTTAGTGGTGTTGATAGAGCTAGGGCAAAGGTTGGACTTGACCTTGAAGGTCTCTTCCAACCAAAACTGTTCTATGATTCTATGACCAGTTGATATTAGGTAGGGCTGCCATCCTGAAGGTGGGCTGAAGGAATGAGCCATCAGGAACCTCACGATCTAGAGACGTGGTTAACATCTCAAGCAAGCACTCAATAGACCTCATGTAGACCTCATCTGGTGAGGACAGCCATGCCTGGGAAGGGGGTGCAGACTACATCCTTGGAGCCCTGCCAGGATGAAGCTGGGTGCAGGATGGCCTGGCCGCAGGACAGGCTGAGTGTGGAAGAGAGGTCCCCACAGGTCTCCTCCCACCCAAGTGGGAGATCTTTGTATGCTGTTATGTTGCAATTTTTGACTGGAAACAGGGCAAGGCCTGTGCCCTTTCCATTCCTGGGAGAGCTGAGTCAGACGTTACATTTTTTTGAATTTTTGGCAAGTGAGGCATTGCCTTCCATTTATCTTCTGAAGACTCCCTTGGACAAACGTAACTTCACTTCTTTTCTCCAGTGATGGCAAAACACAATGGTTTAACTGACACTAGTTTCAGATTTTTCACAGAACTAATTCTATTATTCCAGTGTAGGAGGAGACCTCTTCCAAATTCCAGCTTCTGTGCTATGATATCTTACTGATAAAAATGACATATTTTAATTCATTTGTGGTTGCAAGAAGACAGGAACTAAACTAGTCTTGGAGACAATTTACAACTCCTCTTAGTTACCTCAGGCATCAGTTTGTCGAGGCTACTCAGGATGAAGGCCCATCTCACTCATAACCCTCACAGCCACCCAGGTTCAGAAGGCCAAAACCTGGGAAGCTTTTGGAGTTGTGTAATTTCTAAAGAATCCTAAAATTAGTTCTCTAGTTCTTACAAAAGAGTAAGATTTGGCTAGTACAAACTAGCTGAGGTAGAGAGTGGAACTAAAAAACTTCAGTGGGATAAGTAAAATACTCATTTGCAGAGGTGAATTTCTCAGTGGCCATAAAAACATTACGTGAAAGACCTTTTGCTGTAGCTTTACTTGTCACATCAGGTTCTTCCCTACCATGATTCTGAGTGAGCTGGGAACTGCAGTCTGATGAGGCAGCAGAGTGAAATGTCTTTTTTTTTTTTTTACTCTAAAACTACCCCCAACCTTTGTGACCTTCTACCACACTACTTTTTTTTTAGACAGTTTGAGCATAATTTCTCAGAACTAAGCACTTACTGAGAAAGCATCATCCAGCAGTATAAGGAAGCAAAACACCTCACTTCAGCAGTTTGAAATCACTGTTGTACTTTCAAAAGTACTTTCAAGACTAACCATCCCATTTCTTAAATATAAGGATTTATATTTGTGTAAGCTGAAGCTGGAGATTTAAGCATCACTCAGGAAACATGAGAGTAATAGTCTCAATGCAATGTTGATTTATCCAGAAATAATATATATACTTAACGTTCCAGCAAGTAATAATATATACTTATATAATAGAGCTTTAACATTGCTTTCAAGAGAGAAATATTTAACACTCCATTTTCAGACCAAGCTGAATAGAAATCACAGCAAGGCAAGCTGGTGAGGTTTTCAGCTAAAGCCGAGTGAAATGTAAACAAAAGATTACATAATCCAAAATTTTTTTAGGCACTCAGGAAAAGACTCAAAATACCAAGTTAAGTTCAGCTGCTCAATTTCCATTTCATCAAGTCTGGGATCTTAAACAAACTTCACTTACACCTGGAATTTCTGTAGCACCTCAGGCCTTGGGTTCTCTGTAGCCAATGTAACGTGCATCAAATGCACGAACCGAGAATGATGTGGTGAGATACATCCACTGATACCATTCTCTCTGTTCCAACTGCGAGATTTGTCTCTGAACTGCCCGTCCAAGACATCTTTTTCCAGAATTATACTTCTTCACCTGACTCCACGTCCCAGCCACAGGACTCCAGCTGCTCATCCTGTGGAAACTCAACCTCAATGTCATAGATGAAATCTGGGTCATCCTTCTTCTTCCTGTTCTTTTCAAAGAGCTCATCCATGATGCGCTTCCTTTTGGCTAGTTCCTTGTCATCTAGTTTGTTCATATCCTCTTCTGGGTCAATGGTCTCTTCCTGCCGAAACGTTTTCAAGCCCTCAGCCAGGCTCTCTCCTGCCAAATGACCTTTCAACAAACTGTACAGCTTTCGTAGCTGATGCAGGGAGACTCCTTCTAGGTAAGCCTTGTGCCGAGGGTTATTCTTCAGCTGCTCAGCAGCCATTCTGCAGTCTAAAGAGAAAGCTGCCATGAAGACTTCAGAGCTGCAAGCAAATCCCTTCCCATAAACATATCCTCTTCTTGCAAATAATCACAAGCAAGACCTCCACAGTTAGCAGACCCACTACTCAGGCTAAGATGTAGCCCTGGGCTCTGCAGTGGAGAAAGGAGACAGTGTTACCCCAAAACAACACTGCTTTGCACTTCCTGCATGCTGGTAAGAAGCTACTCGGTGGTTACTAAAAATGCTGTTACCGACTAGCTGTTCCTCTCACCGTGTCTGGATGAGACTTGGGGAATGCAGCAAGTAAACTCACCACACCTGAGAACTTTGAGAAATTTCTGACAGGCATGATACGCTGACGAGTCTTATCCTCGCTCTCTTCTTTGTAGATCAGGATAATGGACGGGGGCTGAAAGCAGACGCCGCACTTCTTTGCAATGTAAGTCATTACCATTCTTGCTGCTGACTGAAGTGTGGTCAGCTCTATCAGAGACGTTCTCACTGAAAAACAGGAAAAGAAAAAAGGGAAAGCATGAGTATCTCTCAGTACTGTTCTTTTTATCAGGATTAGTGACACAAGTTCAGCAAAAACACACAGTCAGGGTGTAAGTCTCCCCGATTTCAGCAGAAGCTGAACATGTCTCTACAAGCTGTATGAGCCAGGTGCCAGGGTGCAGAGTGACTCCCAACTGCTAGTTTACACTTTTGCCACTACTCAGCCAAGACTATGTTACACAAACTAATCTTCTGGTCTACCAGCTAAATAGAGTACTACGGAGTCAAATGATACTTAAAAGATATTTTTATATATATTTATTCTTTTTTAAAAGTGAAAAATGTCATAAAATAGTAAATCAATGTATTACAGTTTCTTCGAAAACATTTACGGCATAAGATATCCACTGTTCTGGAAAGCCAGAAATTGCTTACCTACCAAACCCTCTTCTGCTCTAACTACCAGGCTTTTAACTTTGTATCACCTCATAGTTCCTATGAAAGCTCCAAGGGATAATCCAATTTTTCAGTAAAAATATAAAAATACATTTTTGCTGTATATTTGAAAAAAAAACTTAAGAAAAATGCAGATAAAACAAAAATCTGAAACACCTTGGAACCCCACTGGAAAAGTTTCCACAAAATTAAACCTGAATGTTGCAAGAGATGTAACAAAGACAGAATTCTATTATACACACTTGTCTATTACACATATTTGATTTGAAAATATATAAATTCATTGGTATAGTTCAAATGCCTTTATTTGTCTGTTTCTGTCTCAAAATTGGGGATACCCCACTCCCTACTTCATATGGTAAGGGAGAACCTTGCATCCAGAATGTCGACATATTCTTTTATAAAACTTTCTTATAGTTTCAGAGTGATCTCAATATAGCAGCATAGCTGTAGCCTAGGACAGATGGGACAAGGAGAGAGAAAGGATTCAGAAATGAAGACTAAAAATAATTAAACTTCTTATTAGGCAGCAATGAAGATATGAATTCATTTTAAAGAGAGGAGTTGAACTGTTCAGTCCTTCTCAAACTAAAAAACACCATCAATGAAACTGAAAAGCCAAGAATTTACAAGTGACAAATGAAAATGCTTTTTACACTGCATATTACCACTTGTAGAGTTTAAATTATAAAATGAAGGCTAAGAAAGTCTTAAGATTTGAAAATGCTGAGCTGCTGCAGGTGCGTGGAAGAATCGGAAGCTTCTGTCATGCTTAAATGGCAGAGAAAAAGGGTGAGTGGGGAGGAAGGGCTGAGTCAGATAAAATATTAGAGAAGACTTAAAGATCCAAATCTGCTGCAGATCCTCTTTCCTAGCTTAGTGTAAAAGAGAATGTATGTCTTTTTGATTTAAATAACTGAAAATAGGCCAAACGCGAAGGTCATCTCCTTCTCTACAGAATGCAGTAAGGGGAAGTATGAAATTACACCCAGAGCTGTAACATACGTCTCCAAATCAAGACAAATTCCTTTAATCTTCAAAAACTACTTCCAAGATCAGTTGAAAAGTCTTCCTTCTTTGTTAAAAATCATGTAGAAAAGAGTTCAAATTTGCAGTAATGTTCTCAATACTGATAATTAACTACAGCTGCTCAGCCTTTTGCTTTTAAATAGTTCTATGAGTTGGGAAAGAAAAGCAGGTGTCTCTTAAGGGCCACTTTTGCTATCTTAAAATGAGAAATTATGCTTCCAACTGAACTAAAACGGCTTTTCGAAGGGTCACTAACAATCACAAGAGTGGGCCTTCATCTCTCAGAAGCAAATAAATCCTTAGGTGAGAAAGACAAATACGAGAAGAAGCCCTTCGGATCCATGCAAAGGAGAGGAAAGAGGTTTCGTATCTTCAGGCAGAGACCTTTGTTACCCTGCATGAAGGCTGGTTTCAGTATCTCTGAAACACAGACAAGTGCTTTTTGGTTTGGTTCTTTTTTTCTTTCCCTGCCAACTGCTGTGCTGCAGGAAAACCACTTTTGCCATTAAAAAGCCGCTTTTCCATCGCGTATTTCCACCCAACCCTCGGCATCGCGCGCGGCCGAGGCCTAAACGTTGAGAGAGGGGTGGGGTGGGGTCCGGTCCGTCCTT